CAGTCTCACTGTTTGAATGTCCCCTGTATCTGCTTTAATTTTGTAACTTCAACAACTATTTCTAAGATGACAATATGTAATTAACTAGTGATTTCCTACTGTTAATTTTTTCTGAAATTCTGTATAACTTGTACCCTTTTTCTGTTTTTTTTTTCTTTTTTCTCCTTAAATAAAATTTTAAAAAAAGAAACTAGGATCTACAATCTACATCACAGAGATAAATACATACAAAATTAACTCCTGATGATATAAAGATTTAAGTAGCAAAAATAAAACTTTAAGACAATATAGAAGAGCATCTTTATAATTTCCAGGAAGAGCTTTAAATGAGGCCTAAACAAGCACTTTTCATGGAAGAAATTGCCAGCTTTACTTACGTAAGAACATGTGTTCATCAAAATATGCTATACAGAAATAGAAAGTGAATTGTAAACTAACTCCAATAGATCCTTGAACACAAAATACATAAAAAATTGCACACAGAAGCCTGTTTCTGTTTATAGACCATTATTCATATGAAACAACTGTTCTGAGTACAGAACACTGACAGCACCAATCCTTTTTAAAAGTTTGTCTGAAGGCAGCAGAGAGCTGCCAGGAGAGCAGGCCTGAAGGGGCTGCAGGTCTTGGAGCAGACAGCCTCACTGAAGTAACCAGGTTTTCTTCATCTTGTTTTTCCCCCCGGCCAGGTGCTAATTCTGGATGTGGAATAAGACACTGAATGGCCACAGAGATAGCAGCTTCCACAAGGTGGAAAAGCCAACATCTCTAGGCAATCTCATGAAGATGGAAGAAGCTGCAGCTCAAAGCCTCCAACACTTGAGGGATGGGCCACAAACCTAGGAAGAAATAAGGCAGTTCCCATTGAAGCACCACCAAAAAAAATTCAAAGAAGTCAAGCAAAGAAAGCCTACGGAAAACACAGTGAGTTGTAGGTACCAGAGAAAGTATCGGAGAAATAAAATGTTAGGGTTCATAACCCAACAAAGAAAAGCATCCTAAGTCTTCTGGACATACTGAAATGGAAGAAACAAAGTTATGCAGAGACTTGGAAAGGTCAAAAACCACCTTTAGCCAGCTCAGTCACCATTTAGATGAAGACAATTCCTCCTCTGCTGTCCTCCGGGATACATGATGAATTTTTTCTCAAGTAGGTTAATTCCAAACTCCTATAATTTTTTTCTCAAAATTATACAGACACTAAATTAAATATAACCAAATACACCAAGAAACAGAACTAAAACAAGAAACTCCAAGACAAACTGAATATCACATATGGCAAAGCACTGACTTTAAAATAACTGAGTAATTACTTTAAAGTCAGTGCTTTAGAAAGAACAAGAAAAGATAGATAACTACACCAGAACAATAAGCCATTAAAAAAGAAAAGTAGGCTGTGACTTTTTGACATGGCAGAATGGCTTGATTAACAGCAATTACAAAAATCAGTTTACATTTTTTAAAAAGTAAGATCTTTTGAAAACTGTACAAAAACAAGCACAAGTCAGAGGGCTGCAACTACTGGATAATGGGAGCACAAGGGGCAAACTGCATGCAAGTTTATGTCTTGAGGCTGTAGCACCCCCACTTGGTCTGCACATTCCATTCCTAACAGCTGAGGTGCTGTCAGGCAAACCCACAGCTGGAGATTTTCAATACCCACTCTGATTAAGAGATACAAGTCTAAAAACCAAAGCAAAAGGAGCCAGGATACAGAGTTATAAACACAGGTACCTTCACCAAATGAACATTTACAAAAGGGAAAAAAAAAGCCTCTCAAAACTAATTACAAACATTTTTCCAAGTACTCATGAGACAGTCCTCAACATGGGTCATATTGAGGTGAACTAACAAATGTAAAAAGACTGAAAAACCATGTTCTCTGATCACAAAATTTTATAAGAAAAAATCTAACCTGGAAAAGTCTCAAGTATTTATACTACTAAATAGAAGGAAAAGAAAAAATTATTTCAACATGAATGCAAATGAAAATAAATTGTATTTAATTGGATATTAAATCACTACTTAACAGAAATTTAGAGTTATAAATGCTTATATAAGAAAAGATTCACACTTAAAGATCTAAATTTCCAACCTAAGAAAAAGAGGAACACTGTTACGGTACGGCTAGATGTTCCCCCAAAGCCTCATGCAGTCATAGAGTTTTTTGGAAGGTGGCTGAATCTAGCGTTTGTAATTCATGGTTCAACACTGGGATCCAGGATGCTCTAATGAAGGGTGGGTGACTGCTGGATCAGTCCACTGACTGAATAGGCATCGCCCTAATTCCAGGGTCTGGATAAAACAAAGGGGCAGAAAGAGGCTTGTTTTCCCCTTTTGCTCTTCTTACTTTCGGTATCTTCTACCACCACGAACTGTTGTCCCTCTGCCATGTCATCCTGCCTTAGAGCCAGCTGATTATGGACTAAAACTTCTACAAACTATGTGCTCTCTTCCTTTTACTTTTAGGTGTTGGGTATTTTGTCTCCGCAATGATAGAGAAAAAAGTAAGATATGCCTTTTAAGCCTGAAGTTAGGGCTTATTTTTGTTTAAAATCAATGAAATAGACAAAATGAATACATAAGAATAACAAAATTAAAAATTAACTCTTTTAAAATGGATTAAAACCTTAGGTAAATACAAGAAATTCCACTCTAATAGATATGATTAACAATTATATATCCAAAAAAAGTCAGTTATTAAGATACCCAACATTCTTTAAAGCATGCATAGTACTACATTACAAATACAGATGTACAGATATTTAAAATAAAAGAAGTATCTGGAACAATTCCATGCCAATAAATTTAAAATACACAAGTGAAATATGTAAGATCAAAAAAAGAAAAAATTAACTCTGAAACTGACATTAAGACTGATAGCAAGGGGCTGGGGATTTAGCTCAGCAGCATAAGCACCTGCCTTGCAAGCAGGCAGTCATGAGTTCGATCCCTGGTACCGATAAAAACGAAAAAAAGACAAAAAAAAAAAAAAAAAAGACTGATAGCAAATCAAAGAGCCTATACATTTAAGTGAAACTGGCTTCATCACAAACCATCCTCTAAAGAAAACAAGAGATCTATTTAATTTCAATGGTAGATCCAGTATTCCTTTTAGGAAGGAAAAACTAATTTTACAGAAAATTTTGAAACTCAGGAAAGGCAGCAACTTCCTGAGTCATTTTTTTGAGTTTGGGATAATCACAAATACCAAGGACTGGCAAAGTCACCGTAAAAACAGGAAACTACACACTAAAGTTCATCAACATACACACAAAACCCTCAGCAAAAAATTTATCAAAATGAGAAAAATATAAAAAAAGCTAATAGTAATGCAAGGTTGACTTAACATTCAAAAATTTAAAAACCAGTACAATTCATAATACTAATACAAAGAAAAATCAATGATCATCTTAAATTTACTAGGAAAAGTTCATGACAAAAGCAAGCAAAATATGTGAACTACCATTTCAGAAATTACACAAATGCACAATAAGACAGGAAAATAAAATCATCATTAGTTACCATGGAAATGCAAATAAAAATCATAATGAGTTCCAACTATATACCAACAGGGAAGGGTTAAATTTTAAACAATTTGGCAATTTTCCCATGAGTCAGCAAATCCACTCCTATGTATTTACAGCATGAAAAAAATGTATGCTCAAAGCTTGGACAATGTTTGCAGCAGTTTTATTTAAAATTGCTACAAATAAATTAACTCATATTTCCATCAAGAGAGGAAATCATAAAATAATTTTGTACAAATAAAGGATATGTTTAGCAATAAAAAGTAGAACTATTTTATACATACACACAACAACAAAGAAGTATATCAGACACACACTGAGAAAAGAGGCTGAAGAACACATTTTATAAAGTCATTTATGTAAAATTCTAGGAGAGACAAATCTAATCTACAATGTTAGGAAGCAGATTAGGGGTTGTTTAGGGTCATAGGTGTAACATGGGGACTTGCTGGGGAGAACAAAAGGGTCCTTTGAGGATGCTGAAAATATTCTTTGTGGTGCTTGGATTTAACCTTTTTTCAAAACTTAATTGGAAAACATGACTACCTATATCACTATCTTCGAATGTTTCCTCTGAAAACCACATAGAATGATAACCTGAGCCTTAGCACAACCTGAAGAAAAAGAATATCCAAATTTCAAAAAATCCGTAAATGAAAAAGAAAAATAACAAAACCTAGTTCACAGACTCTCAAATATCTTACTTTTTGCTGCGTAGTACCCTTCTTGTTACGATCTGAGATGATACAATGTCTACGTGATGAGCCAAAGTAAGGCAAAAGACAAGCAGAAAAGAACGGCCTTGGCACCGGGAGGGAGCCTTATGCAGCAGCATTCGCTGATGATGCTGAGAGGTAACGGGAAGCTACCTGAACATAAGCACCATGCTCGTCAATCTGGGAAGGAAGACAGCGGTGATAGGATCAAGCAGTGGACAGCACGTCCAGCATGGACAGGCTGGAGGAAGGGATGATTCTCCTACGGGGTGAAGTGATTTCATGCTATTCAAAATAGCACATGATTCAAAATTTATTATTTGTAGGATTTCTATTTCATATTTTTAGAGCACTGTTGGCTGCTAATAACTGAAATTACAGAAAGCAAAAGCACAGCTAAGGGAGGACATGACAATAAGGAAATAGTCTGCTTATGTGAAGTTCAAGGAAAGCAGAAGAACAGTGACCACCAGAGGAGCGGGGGAAGGTAACTGATCTGAAAGGTAGAGAATGGCTCTGTTCACTGTCTTACTCCAGATGGGACTACACAGGTAAATGCTTCTGAAAATTTATCAAGCAAAACATTTAAGATTTAGGGATTTCATTTTTTATAAATCATACTTAAGTACTATTCTGTTTTTTAAAAGCATCAATCTATCTGTTTTATTTAGGTATTACTCTTGACATTTTTTTCTTAAATATTACTTCCTTCTAGTCAAAACCAGACCAACTTTTAACTATTTTTTTTCTTTACCTGAAACATGTTCCATTCTCTTTTATTTGATTTTTCTGGGTAGTAGATGCTTGAAGCGACAAAATTTTATTTCCAGGCAAAGTTATTTGCTTTAGAATGGAAGCTATAAAACAAAAATGAGAAAAAATAGAATATAAAAAAAAGCAATCATGCCATGTTAGAGTTTTTTGGGGTTTTTTTTGATATTTTTACCAGTACCAGGGATCGAACTCATGACCACATGCTTGCAAGGCAGGCGCTTATGCCGCTGAGCTAAATCCTCTGCCCCTAGAACAACAGTTTTTAAAATGTATAGAATAATAAAAGAAAGTTTTAAGCTGCCGTAAAACTATATTCCCATAGGGTGATATATATACTCCCTGGATAAGAAATTATCTTAAAAAGATTTCTGTGTTTCTTTTTCATACAGTCTCAAATTATTATAAAAAGCTGCATGAAAGGTGACTGAAACATGCTAATGATCTATCACTTAGATTGATATATTTTTTAAAACATTTAAAAACTCTACCTGACATGTGAGAGACTGATTTCCAATCTCAGAGAAAAAATTTTTAAAAGGAATCATGCTACAATGAAATTTTAAGTTAAAAGAATATATATTTACTAATATTGTTTTATCTAATTTCAGAATACCATGAGCATTTGCTCCTTTTATTTCAAAACAATATATATCCCAAAAAAGTATCTGTATTTGTACAAAGATGTAACCAACGAACAGTTTACCTTCCAGTCTTCTCTTAGGAACAACTTTATTAAAGGTCAAACTTCTCTTAATCCAACAATAAACAAATTCAGCAAAACCCACTATGTTCCAAATTCCCTGCAATGGAACACACAAGAGCTAGTGTCTACCTGGAGGAAACTTACTAGTAGGTATTACAGTGTTCACTGGAATCTTCTGTGCAGGTTTCTGAATGGTCAGTGCTGAGGAATGGGAAACTGTGGTCCCTTGTTTTCCAATGCCTCCTGACGGCTGCTGTACCACCTGAAGTAAGGAGAACTGTCAGTCATTCAAGCAAACGTGCTTTAGGAGAGGACAAAGATTTCACTTCTAACAGCAGCTTGTGCTCACCCAGTTATGCATGCTGTATATCTTTATCTTCACATAAGAAAAATACTTAAATTTTATATTTGTATGTGGTAAAATTGTCTTGCTCAAAAGTGAAAAACATGGCCATTGCATGCATTTATACTGTTTTTATTAGTGCATATTAATTATACGGATCAGCGGATTTCATTTCAGCAGATTCTTACTCATGTTAACACACTCAGATAATTTCCACCTGCTACTGCTTCCTCCTTCCTCTCCCTTCTCCCTCTTGTTCCCCACCTCTTCTCTAATAGCCCACTTTTATATTCAGTCACCTCTCTCTTTTTTGTTATTTTGTTTTAAAATTTGACATATGAAAGAAAACTTTCAAAATGTTCTTAGTCTGGCTTATTTCGCTTAACATGTCCAGTTTCATTTTCCTTTATGGGCAAGTAAAACATAGGTATATAAATTTTCTTCTTTATCCATTCATTTGCTGACAGACTCCTAGGCTGATTCCATAGCACAGCTATTGTAAATTGAGTTGCAATAAACATGGATATGCTGATATTTCTATTAAATACTATCTTTAGAGAAGTTGAAATTGATAAAAATTTCCATATGGATCTTATTTTCTTTTTGTAATTATCATTGAAAATTTAATGTACACAAAAGTAGAGAAAATAAAATGAAAGTACTCATACTGTTACCCAGCTTAAACAGTGATTAATTCGACAATTAAGCTTCATCCTCTGTACACTTCTCTAGCACTCCCAATTATGTGAAAGCAAACCCAAGATGTATCTTTAAAACTGTAAGTATTTCAAAATATATCTCTAAAGGATATGGGCTTTTTATGTGCTGTTTTTTTAAAAGTACCTTCCTAAACCATCTGAGAAGTGACAATGCTAAAGGCATCCTCCAAGATAACAGGTCATGAAATGCAATGAGGTTTGGGATAAAGGGAAAGAAATAACAAGGTTATTGCTTTTTAGCATCAAAGAAAAAGAAAACAGAATAGTTATTTTTTTTTTCAATTCAAAGAAGAAACCTTCACCATGAATTAACACTAGCTCTTGACAGTGAACTATTTAGAATTATTTAAACCCCTACAAAGTTAATACAAAGAAGTCATTGTCTGGGCAGGAGACAGACTCCTTACAAGAATTATGAAACTATAATTTATTCTCCTTTCTAATTATTTGTATAAAATTTAAAAATCAATTGTGCACTATGAAGAAAAAAGTAACAGTGCAAAATATTTAGTAAGTAATCTTATAGAAACTAATGTCCTTAGAGAAGAAATGTAAATTGGCATAATTCAATTGCCATTATTCTTTGATAACAGAAAAGAACTCCTGGAAAAATAATGCATTTCAATGAACCTGAGATCACATTCATGTCTTGAAAATTTCTCAGGATGAGGCTTAACATAAGAAGTAATACATACCTGAAGTCTTATTTTTGCATTCAGGCTGAAACTCAAGACAATGCAATCAACAACTTAAGACTTATTCCCCTATTTTTCATATTTTCCTTCTTGATACCCTTTATTAGGTACCGTTTTCAGCATTTCAACTATGAAGGATTTTAATAAAATATTATTATAAAATTGTTTATCAGGGAATCTTCATACTATTTTTGATAGGTACTTGAAAATATAACGAAGTTTTGAGCTGAAATTTAGCAACCCATGAGTAAGATTTAGATTCCCATCACTTCTCATATTAATTACTCAAATACTTGGATAGCACATGTACTTAATCTAAAATATATGTAATGCACAATGTAATGGACAGATACTCTGAAGAAGAGGAGACACTAAGATACCCAGTGCTAATTCTGTAGCATTATGATATAAAATCTAGCAATACTATTATTCACTGTTCAGAGTGATATTAGTCTAGTCCCTTATGTTTAATTTCAGCATATGTGAAGATATGGACAGCTACTTCAAAAAGAATGAGAGACATTGTGGCAGCCATTGTTGACTTCCATAATGTCAGGTCTTAAAGACCTAAAAAGTCTTCATCATCCTGTTCTGATTAGATTAGTTCTATAATGTTCAGTATGTATTCACTGTGTGTGAAGATGGGAACAACTATTTGGAAGAAAACTAGAGACAATATAAAAGAGACAAGATCTCCAGCAGACTTGCTTTGAAATCCATGTTTCTTAAAATTGCTTCCTTATGATCTGTTTTGTTCTGTTTAATCTTACCCTCTTTTAAAAAAAAATCTAAAATATATGAGCAGCACACTCCTACATACTACCCGAACAAAATAAAACATGAAGCCTAGCATGGTGGCTCACACCTGTAATCCCAGCACTCGGAAGGCTGAGGCAGGAAGATCATTTCGAGTTTGAGACTAGCCTACGCTACAAAGTGAGCTCAAGGCCAGCCTGATTTGCATAGAAAGCCCAAAAATAAAACGTAAGCGACAACATGTAAGAGACTTGGCTGCTATTTTTCCTAAGAAATGACCATAAAAAATCACATTGTTGGACAACTCTGGAGACTGAAATTATTTTAGAGAAATAGAAGCTGATGCACAGTACAGACATTTGTTCTTAAGTGGCAAGAAAAAGAAAAGCTATTACTTTGCTTAACATTAACACCTTAGCTGAGTGCAGTGAGTGGTACATGCCTGTAAATCCTGCACTTTAGGAAGCTGAGGCAAGAGAGTGACAAGTTCAGATCCCACCTAGGCAAATTACTAGGCAAAATAAAAAAGGCTGGAAAAATAACTCAGTGGCAGAGCACTCACAGGTTTAATACTCAGTACCCTCTATCCTCAAACTCAGTTCTTTATTGATCTTCCCTCCAAAACAAACTATAGAATTAAGGAAAGAAACATAAAGAGTACACATATTCGCTTTTTCTCGCTGCATACCAGGGCCCAGTGTTTCATTTGGGATATTAATTCAAATTAACATCCCAGTAGTTTATTAAATCTACTAATAACTACATTAATCATGATCTGGCTAGCTGACATGGAATGATTCTTATATTCCATCAGGAAAGGAAGCAAATAAACATGAGCACAGATTAAACAAACAGATGGGAACACCCTTACTGTATGATTCCACTTCCACTGAGTTCTAGAAAACTAATCTGTGGGGAAAATCATCACAGAGCGATTGCTTCTGGGAAGAGGGGGTTACACACCGACTAGGAAGAGCATGAGAGAACGCCAAGGTAATGGGAACATTAAATATTTTCATGAGTTACAAATAAGGAATGAACCTTAAAAACTTTTCTGATGGAATCCATAAAACCTGTGTGTTACTGCATATAAATTTTATCTCAAAAGAAAACAATAAACAAATATTTAACTGTAGGTAGTGATATCTATGTTTAATTATTTGGGAGTTTTGAAATCAATAAAAAAACAAGATGGATTGAAAGCAGACTACATGATAAATCAAGCTTAATGGCTATAAGTAGTGGAATCTAGGCAGTTGATATATAGATGTTTACCACAAACTTCGATATTGCTACATTCAAAGTTTTCATAATCAACCACATTTTCTTGGCTAATATAAAAATAAAAGGACATATGCACTGTAAATATCTCTAGCTTTATTTTCCATAAATTCTAATGCATTCTTACAGAACTTAAAATAACATTCAAGCAAACTTAAATAAACAGTCATGAACCTACAGATCGAGACTACTGTTTCAGGCTATCCTGGCATTCCTGGTGCGTGCCCGTCCTGCTTCCCCTTGGGTATATTTTTACTTTTTTCCTCTATTACCTGGCCCAAGTTCACTCTGCAGAGCCAGATTCTTTCTCAGACTTCACTTTTACTTTTTCAGATAAACTTTGCTGCTGCTTTTTGCTCATTTTATTCAGTTCTCCGTTTGAGACAAGAGGACCCTCCAAGGAAAAGATTCCTGCTTCAAGTGTAAGAGGACTGATTACTGGGCACAAGTTTGCACCAAGCCCCTGCCTGAGCTCTGCTCAATATGTAAACTGTGCAAATGAAGGCTCAACTGTACCAATCCCAGAGGGACTATACCAGGCAAAGCCCTCTGTCCCTGCTCTGACAGCTGAAGTAGCCCAAGGGAATCTGCAATATGCCTGTGATTCATGGACATCGCCATTTCTTTTAAGGAACCCTGGATAATCTTAGCCACCATGGTTGAGCCAATTCATTTACTTTATTCTGTTTTAACTCACTTCGCTAGAAAACTCTCCTCTGAATCTATTCAGAGTTGGGGTTGAGGGCACCTCTACCAAGATTCTTTGAAGCTGCAAAGTTAACTTTAGGACAGATACTAGAAATCCTGACTCTCCCACCAGATCTGAGCTATTCTGGTGACAAAGGCTACCTATGGTTAACAGCAGAATAGCTCACCAAGTATTTCTTAGAAATCCCTAAGGTTATCAGAAAAAGTTGCACTACTAGAAGCACCACTCTGCTTCTTTGATGCCTACAGTCCTAGAAGTTAGCCACTCTTGTGAACAAGTGATCTCCCAGACCTTTGGAAGCAGGCAGGACAACAGGGACCTGTCCATCTAAAACCTTAAGGAGGTACAGGTCACTGATGGAAGTAGCTTTATCCATCATCTAAAAAACACAGGCAGGAAATTCCACAACTTCTAGAGAAGTCCATTTTCCCAAGCAGGTCGAAGCCATGAACTGTAAAGGGCACCAAAGAGACATGCCTGAAGTCTCCTTGGGAAACTAAAAGGCTGACGGGGAAGCAGAAAGGATAGCCCTACAGCCCCTCAAGGCCCTAGTCTTAGGCTCAGTTTCTGATAAACTGTTCTGGTCTTTTCCCAAGAGACACAGTGATAAGGCATAAAACTCTACATGGGAAGTGGGCCTTAATCTTCTGGAAAAGAGATTCTTTTGGTCAAGAGAGCCAACAAGACCCTAAAGCTAGCTCTAGCAAAACTCAGCAAGAGAAGTCCTAAGCTCAGACTGCTGTCAACAGTGCTCATGAG